CACTGTTTCTTACATCCGGCTTTCTAGACGTTAGTCATGTGCCTATACACAAAGAAGACTGACAGGTTGTATCATCCAGGTTGGCAGAATGGAGTATTTCAGGAATCAGAAGCAAGGATCAAGGGTCTGGGGATGTTGGTAGAGAGCTTGCATAGCATGCACAAAGTTCTGAGTTCAATCCTAGCACTGTCTAAGCCAGGCGTGGAGGTCCTTATCTTTCATCCAGACTTGGGAAGTGGAAGCAGGAGGATCACAAGTTACAAATTACCAGATGGAGGCAGAGGCATGCAGATCTCAGTGAGTTCGAGGCCAGCATGGCCCACCAACTAAATTCCAGGACAGCCAGGACTGTTCCACAGAGAAAGCCTGTCTCAACCCCCGCCCCCAATAGTTACAAATCAACCTTTTTATGCTGGCTAGGTTTGTGCCAACTTGACACAAACTAGAGTCATTTTGTTAGAGGGACCTAAATTGAGAAAATGTTCCCACTAGTGTTGCCCTGTCAACACATCAGTGGTACATTTTGTATTTTCTTGATTACTGGTTGATGTGGGAGGGTCCAGCTCACTGTGGATGGTGGTGCCATCCCTGGTCCCAGGTGCCATCCCTGTTGCCCGGGTGCTGTAAGAAAGCAGGCTGAGCAAGCTAAGGAGTAAGCTAGTAATCGACACTCCTTCACAGCCTCTGCATCAGGCTGCTGCCTCCAGGTTCCTGCCTCGAGTTCCTGTCCTGAAGTCTCTCAGTGATGGAAGTGTGACCTGAGAGGTGGAAGCTGAAATAACCCCCTTTCCTCCCCCAGGTGTTTACAGTCACAGTGTCTTGCCACAGAAATAGAAACCCGGAGTAAGGCACCTGTCCAAGTAGCAAATTTAAGGTCGGACTGACCAAGCTGAGATTCCGTCTTGGGTGGAGGTAGGGTAAAGAGGGTGGGAAAGGGGGAAGCAGAAGGAGCAGGAGGAAGAGCAGAGGCAATGCCTGGGAGGTTGCTGGGGATTGCAGTGGTGTTCTGAGTTACTGGGGACGATCAGAGAAAGAGGATCACTTCAGGATGTAAGCAGGCTGTGGGGCTGCAGAGAGGAACAGTCTCTGAGTCTCTGACGGCCTGAACCCCAGACAGACCCGTGGAGGTTAATTTACTGTTTGTGACACACAGATTGTATTCTTGGGTAAAGCAAGTTCCTCATACCAAAGCCCCTGATCTATCTATTTCATGAAGGGAAACGTCACGCCCCTGCATTTTTAGTCCTTGTTGTTGGGCACTGTTTGCAGTACTCGATAATGGAAGATGTTTCAGGTGTGCCAGGACCATCTCGTGACTAAAGTCAGGCAAAGGCCGTGAAGCCCTTCAGGAAAATACCTCGCTAAATCAAAGAGGACAGTCAGTTTTTCACACCGTTTTTTTTTTTAATTTTTTAATGATTTGTTTATTTTTAATTTATATACATTGGTGTTTTTCCTGCATGTCTGTGTGAGGGTATTGGATATCCTGGAACTGGAGTTACAGTTTTGAGCTGTGGGTACTAGGGATTGAACCCAGGTCCTCTGGAAGAGCAGTCAGTGCTCTTAACCACTGAGCCATTTCTCCAGCCCCTACAGTGATTTCTTCAAGGTCTAAATACTCCCAGAACACAGCTATTTCTTTTTTTTTTAAATAAACTTTTTATTGATTCTTTGTGGGTTTCACATCATTCACCCAATCCTATTCATCTCCCCATCCCTTTGAATCTGCCCTCTGCCCTTGCAACCTCCCTGACAAAATAAAATTTAAAACAAAAAAAAAAAATTTCACCATGGAAACTGTAGTATGTCACAGTGAGTCACACAGTGTGCCTTCAGGTCCTTATATCTTTATTGTGTTCACTGCAATGAGTCATTGGTCTGGATCTAAGTCTCTGGCTTCTGCTACACTAGCTATCGATACTGGGACTCCTGGATATCCTGTTGCTGCCTTGTACCGTGAAGATCCTATAGATTTGGATCTGCAGGACCAGCCCCTTCACATACTTCGGCAGTTCACAGATGGGATGGATGTTAGGGTGGGCCAATTCACTGCTGGTACTGGGCCTGGGTGGTAACTGGGTAGAAAGCAATTACTTCTTGCTAGTGTTCACCCTGGACACGATGACTCTACAACATACCCTACTACAGGATTACTTAGTATGCCCTGGGTTTGAGCCCCACCACAGAAAGAAAACGAAACAGGTATTGTAGCCATATGTACTGTGCTTGTGTTGGCCACTGGATTGCCCACTGTCATGGTGGTGGAGGCGGCTGTTACTGAGTATTGTGAAGTTTAAGGAAACACTCTGCCTGGAGGTGGTTGCGCAGGCTTTTAATCCCAGAGGCACTCTTGTTGAAATAGGAGCGACAGGGCTGCGTCCCCGGCACCCGGCCGCCCGCATGGCTAGCTTATGCCCGAAATAATTACATGGAAACTGTATTCTTTCAAACACTGCCTGGCCCGGCTAGTTCCAGTTTTCCTATTGGTTAGCTCTTACATATTGTTCTAACCCATTTCTAATATTCTGTGTAGCCCACGAGCTAGCTTACCAGGGAGGATCTTAACCTGCGTCTGTCTGGAGCGGGAGAATCATGGCGACTCACTCTCAGCTTCTTTTTCCCAGCATTCTCTTCTGTCTACTCCGCCTACCTAATTTTCTGTCCTATGAGGGCCGAGGCAGTTTCTTTATTAGTAAGAAATCACTCCCACATCACACTCTGATCTCTGGGACTTCGAGGCAAGCATCATCTTCAGAGTGAGTTCCAGGGCAGTGAGGGCTACACAGAAAAACCTTGTCTCAAAAAAAAAACCAAAGGGGAAAAAGAAAAAAAAAAAAGAAGAGAGAAAGAAAGAAAGAAAGAAAGAAAGAAAGAAAGAAAGAAAGAAAGAAAACACACTGCCACTGAGGTACATCTCTAGTCCCCCATTATAACTTTACACACCATTCCCTGTCAGCCATTAACTTAGCAGCCACCTCTTTAATAATATCAAGGACAGAGTGCTTTTTGTGATATGTTCCAACCCCCAGAATGATAACACCGAGATGTAAGCCTTTCAGAAATGGTTATGAAAGGGCTGGAGAGATGGCTCAGCGGTTAAGAGCATTGCCTGCTCTTCCAAAGGTCCTGAGTTCAATTCCCAGCAACCACATGGTGGCTCACAACCATCTGTAATGAGATCTGGCGCCCTCTTCTGGTGTGCAGGCATATATCGAGGCAGAATGTTGTATACATAATAAATAAATAAATCTTTAAAAAAAATGGAATCAGGGCCCCTATAAAAAGAGATTCCCACGCAATGCCCTCCTTTAATGTAAGCACTTAGGAGACAGAGACGGGCAGCTCTCCGGGATAGCAAGGTCACCTTGGCCAGCACTGGGAGTCCTAGGGCTTCCAGGTGCCACAGTCTCAGACGTCCAACTTCAGAGCCTGAGAAATGAACTCTGATTGAGTGCCCAGCTGGTGGTTATAACAGCCGAGCGGAGGCAAATGACGTGTTTGTTTCTGTGTGGTTGGTGTGCAGGTAACTGACCATGGAGGCCAGAAGTGGGTGTCAGATCACCTGAAGGCCATTGTGAACACCTGATAGACTACCAGCTAGAGGGTGCAGAGAACCAAACTCTCTGGTCCTCTGGAAGAGCAGCAAACTCTTTCTACTGCTGAGCCATCTCTCCAGCTCCCCATGTTTAGACAGGGTCTTCTACTTGTGGGCTCAACAAATCCTTCTGCCTCAGCTTCCTAAGTAGACACACCACCACCCCACAATTCACTCTGAAATCACTGGAGACTGTTGGAGATGCAGCTTCAATAGCAAAGAACCTGCCTAGTGTATGCTAGCCAGTAGGACTACAAAAAAAGAAAGAAAAAAAATCATCTTTTCCCAAATAGTTTAGATATATGTAAATATTAATTATTGTTTGATTTCCATATCCATTAGATATGTGTACACATATACATATATAAATAGACATGCATTTAAGGAGTTTTGTTATAGTATCAAATTATTTCAAGTTCTGCCCCGTGTTATACTGAAAAATAAATCACCCAATTTTCTGTTTTCAAAAATATCTCCCCCCCTCCCACCTCACTGCAGAGCCCAGCTGGCATGGAATTGTAACATAGTCCAGGCTCAGTTCTAAGAGCTGGGCTTTCAGGTTTGTGCCCGGCACAAATATCATGTAATGACCTAATCGCTGAGAAATCGATTAGCTTCTTCGGTGGCTTGGTGAAGGCAAAAGACTGGAAACTACCTGACTTTCAGAAAGATTTGTCACCGAAGTCCTTCGGGGTCTAATCTTGTGAGATGTTTGCTTAGATTCACAAACTGATCATAAACTACACTCCCTTTCCTTCTGCTAGAGGCGCCTTTTAGAAAAGTTGGGGGAATACTGAGTGCCTCGGAGCCTACGGAGAATCTTGAATATGCTTTTCTCTAGAATATGGAAGTTTTAGTCCATTCAGTGTATACAACGATGAAATTCAATACAGGTTCTTTGCTTGGAGCTGAGGTTTCTCAAAGCAACCCAAGCTGGCTCACCATTCTCCCCTCCCAGCCTTCCAAGTGTTGGGATTGTAGGTGTGTGCCTCCATGTGTAGGTCCTAAATGGTGTGCAATTTTCATTTTTCTTTTCTTCTTCTTCCTCCTCCTCTTCCTTTCCCTTTTTAGACAAGGTTTTACTATGTATCCCTGGCTGGCCTAGAACTCACTGAGATCCGGAACTCATTGAGATCTGGAACTCACAGAGATCCTCCTGCCTCATCTCTCGAGTGCCAGGCTTAAAGGCATGGGCCACCATGTCTTGGCCAATTTTCTTTATTTCCTTCCTTTTTTAAAAACAACAACAACAACAAAAAAAAAAAAACAACCACACAAAGGGGCTAGAGAGGTAGCTCAGTGGAGAAATAGTCAAGTGGTGGTGACTCACACCTTTAATCCCAGCACCAGGGAGGTGGAGACAGGAAGTGATACGTCTGAGCAGAGAGGAATATAAGGGGGAGAGGAGACAGGCGCTCAGAACATTCAGTCTGAAGAGTCATAGGAACAGTTTGCCCTTTTGGTCTGAGGATTCGGCAGAGGTAAGAACTAGTGGCTGGCTGCTCTGCTTCTCTGATCTTTCAGCATTTATCTCTGTATATGACTCAGGGTCTTTATTATTAAGACCAATTAGAATTCGCACTACAGCTGAGTCACCTTGTGTCATGCTAAAGAAATGGGAGGAATAATTATCTCTTTAATGGAATAATGTACTTTTCCTTTCCAGAGCCCCCACCCGTGATGTAGTCTCCACAAGTGGCTGTGAGGCTCCATTAGATCCAGCCTAGGGAAGACAGAACGTTCCCTTTTTCTTTGTGTATGTCTGTGTGTCTGTGCCGCGTGTATGGAAGCCCCTGGAGGCCAGAGGAGGGCTTCAGCTCTCCCGCGCCGGACACTACAGCCCATTGCGAGCTGCCCGAGGTGGGTCCTGGGAACTGGACTCTCCTCTGAAGAGCATCGAGTGCTTGCAATAGGTGAGCCTTCTCTCCCAGCGGCTCCTCTTTCTTCAGGTTTCTCTCAGATGCTGGCCAGAGGGTGAGTGTGCTTTCCCTGATAATTTGAGATTGTTTTTCACTTTCAGTGAGACGACCTCGGGTTTGCCATGTGTGACCCAGAAAGCAGTGGCTTTCCCTCTCCTTCAGGCAGCTGAGATACAGCTCACCTCCCAAGTGCTTTTTCTTTTCTTTCGAGACTGCATTTCTCCATATGGACCACCAATGCCTGACTTTTTTCTTTTCCTTTCTTCTTCTTCTTCTTCTTCTTCTTCTTCTTCTTCTTCTTCTTCTTCTTCTTCTTCTTCTTCTTCTTCTTCTTCTTCTTCTTCCTTCCTTCCTTCCTTCCTTCCTCCCTTCCTCTCTCCCTCCCTCCCTCCCTTCCTTCCTTTGTCTTCCCAAGACTTTTTTTTTCTTTTAAACTAATAAAATTGTTCTCAAGCTTCCCTCTGAGTATGTTCTTAAATTCTTTTAATAATGAAACTAAGAGCCTGGCAGTGATGACGCACGCCCTTAATGCCAGTACTTAGAGAGGCAGAGGCAGGTTGATCTCTGTGAGTTCAAGGGCAACCTGGTCTACAGAGTGAGTTCCAGGACAGCCAAGGCTACACAGAGAAACCCTGTCTCATAAACTAAACCAAACCAAGCAACCAAACAAACCTAAGAGGAAACCTCAGTTTTCCTAGGGACTGAACTGTTGAAGGTTGGACCCTGGCCTTGCTCCCGGCCTCACGCTCCTCTCTGACCCGACCCTGGAGCCACTGTTCCCCACTTTCCCCACCTGTGGTGCACTGTACTTGCCAGAAACCCACGTTAAAACAAGTCCTTCCTCCCTGCAGCTGCTTCTGTCAGATATTTTCGTCACAGTGACAAGCAAAGTGACAGAAAGAACTCTTCTCATGAATGCTGTTGTGACCTGTCACCGTGGTGGGATGGCTGCTTCTCTGTTAGGTGATGCAGGTGAGCCACTTGCAACTGTGGCTCAACCAACTGCAAACCAAAAGCATGGGGATGAGGCAGAAGGATGGCTTTAGTGGGTGACAGCATTTACTGGAGAATCATGAGGATCAAGAGTTCAGATCCTAGTACCCACAGATAAGCTAGCTATCCCGGGCATGCCTGTAACCCCAACTCTGGGGAGGAGGGACAAGAGGTTGGCTAGAAATGCTAGCCGAAGTCAGCCTGAAAACAGGTGAGGTTCAGGGAAAGACCTTAATAAAAGGAATAGGCAGAAGGTGGCAAGGACACCTGACACCTTCTGCCCTTTGCACACGCATGTACACACGGTCACCCACATATACATAAATGAATACTAATTCCGTTTTAGACAAGGGGCTTGAGTATGAGAAGATCTTGGTGGCTCTGGGATCGGACCCAATTCCCTGTGGGCATCAGGGAATGACTGAATTTCGTAGGGCTGTTTCTGTAGACTGGAGAGGTTCCTGGTTTACATTTGTTCTTGTTTAGTCACAGGACCTTGCTTTTCAGAGGTTAGCCTCAAACTATGTAATCAGGGATGACTCTGAACTCCTGATCCTCTTCTCTTAACTTCCAGTCTAGGGTTATTGGCATGAACCACCAACCTGAGTTGTAGGCAGTGCTGGGGATGAGCCCAGGTCATGCTAGGCAAGCACCCTGCCAACTCAGCCACATCCCTAGCCCACTAGGCTGACTTTGAAGCAATGTTACAGCGCTTCTGAGTGGCCCAAATTATACGGAACTGCAGGGGGCTCCATGGCAGCCCAGGGCAGGTATCTGGAACCTGAGTTTTCCAACCACAGCAGATGGATCCTAGCAAGAGCTTGTAAACTAAGAACAAGAGTTTGAGCCATTTCAACGTAATGCCCAGCAAAATTCTTCAAAGACCTCGAAAGAACAGGACTCAACTTCATATAGAAAAGCAAAAAACCCAGGATAGCCAAAACAATTCTGTACAATAAAAGAACTTCTAAAGGCATCACAATCCCTGACTTCAAACTCTACTACAGAGCTATAATACTGGTATTGGCATAAGAACAGACAGGAGAATCAATGGAACCAAATAGAAGAACCCAGATATTAATCCACACATCTTCGAAAACCTAATCTTTGATAAAGAAGAAAAAAATATCAAATGGAAAAAAGAAAGTATATTTAACAAGTGGTGCTGGTATAACTGGATATCAACTCGTAGAAGAATGAAAATAGACCCATATCTATCACCATGCACAAAACTCAAGTCCAAATGGATCAAAGACCTCAACATAAAGCCAGTCACACTGAACCTTATAGAAGAGAAAGTGAGAAGTACACTTGAATGCATTGGCACAGGGAACCACTTCCTAAATATAACCCCAGCAGCACAGACACTGAGAGAAACAATTAATAAATAGGACCTCCTGAAACTGAAAAGCTTCTGTAAAGCAAAGAACATGGTCAACAAGACAAAATGACAGCCTACAGAATGGGAAAAGATCTAAGCCCACATCAGACAGTGGTCTGATCTCCAAAATATACAAAGAACTCAAGAAATTGGTCATCAAAGCCGGGCGGTGGTGGCACACGCCTTTAATCCCAGCACTCGGGAGGCAGAGGCAGGTGGATCTCTGTGAGTTCGAGACCAGCCTGGTCTACAAGAGCTAGTTCCAGGACAGGCTCCAAAACCACAGAGAAACCCTGTCTCAAAAAACCAAAAAAAAAAAAAAAAAAAAAAAGAAAAGAAAAAAGAAAAAAAGAAATTGGTCATCAAAAGAACACATAATCCAATTAAAAAAAATGGAGTACAGACCTAAACAGAGAACTTTCAACAGAGGAATCTAAAATCGCTGAAAGACACTAAAGGAAATGTTCAACATCCTTAGTCATCAGAGAAATGCAAATCAAAACAACTCTGAGATTCCATCTTAACACCTGTAAGGATAGCCAAGATCAAAAACACTGATGACAACTTGTGCTGGAGAGGCTGTGGGGAAAAGAGAGACTTACATAAATCTAATCTACATGGGAAGTAGAAAGTATAAAAAGACAAGATCTCCTGAGTAAACTGGGAGCATGGGGACCTTGGAGGAGGGCTGAAGGAGGGAGTGGAGAGGCAGGAGAGTAGAGAAAAACGTAGAGCTCAATAAATATAAAATAAAGAGTTTGAGTCATAAGTGAAACCAAAACATTTTTCACTATAGTGGGTTTTCTGTACCCTCCCCCCTCCCCAGTAAATTCCTCTTCCCAAGGCCTAGCATTTAGACCAAAGCCACCCTTGCCTCAGGGTTTGACAAAAGTTCCTCCTTGCTAAAAATGTAGTCATCCTCCTTATCTCTGAAGAACTCAAACACCAAGTGGCTATTGCCTGCTAACTAGTCAAAAGTCAAAGCTATCCTCACGATTTTCTCAACCCTGCCCACAAACCCCACCCCAGGTCCTAAACTCGTTTTCTTCAAGTCCCATTAACCTGGAACTCTTTCCCTGGCTCTTTCCCTTGGTTTCCCGGAGGCAGCCTTAGCAGTTTGACATTTGTTTGGGATGGGGGGGGGGGGGGTGTAAGACAAGGTTTCTGCCTATAGCCCTGGTTTTCCTAGAGCTTGTTGTGTAGACCAGGCTGGCCTTGAACTCAGAGATCCACCTCTGACTCTTCCAGAGTAGTAAGATTAAAGGCTTGTGCCACCACCTTCCAAACATGCTTTCTTTTTTTCTTTGTGTTCCTGGTAATTTGCTAAGCAAAATAGAAAATGAATACAAATGGCTTGTAGTAAGGGAATAAATGGTTTTGATAGGACTTAATAAAACATGTTCCAGCTGCTATATTGAACCCACATATGTTTTAAAAGAAATTAGCCTCAATGTTTACCTACTTTTTTAAAACCAGTTTCAAATTGTTTCTTGAGACAGGGTCTCACTATGTAGTTCTGTTTTGAAACTCATTCTGTAGACCAGGCTGGCCTCCCAAACTAGTTTTATTTAAAGAAATGAGCTTTATGTTATGCTTGTGTCTCGGAATCCCTAGTGAAGCCAAGGAGCCAGTTTTCGATATAAATTCAAGAGGGTCTTTATTTAGCAAGCTTAAGCTCGAACCACAAATCTCCAGCACAACTAGGCGGCAGGTGAGAAGAGAATGCGGCCCGAGGTCGAAAAAAGACGAGCTCTTAAAGGGGAAGTTGCTGCAAGTAAGGGGGTACGTGTCTTGGTTTTGGCATTTTGGGACTGGGTAAGAAGGGCACAGAGTACGAGGATTTCTGAAACCATCGGTCAGTTTTGGGGCGTGAAACCCTCACAACCATAAATTACAAGGTATCTGTGAAGGCTGTCTTCAGAGACGTCTGGACCTCTCTGACTCTTAATGCCTCACTCCTTAATTGGCTGTCCATTTTAAATTTCTCTATCACACCAGCTGTCCTCAAAGAAGTCTCGTCTTTTAAAATGGAGTCTATGAAGTCATCTTTCAGTTAAATCTCAGGGGCTCACAATATTTGTATACTGCGTCAGACATTCAGTTGGGCTCTTTTAGTGAATGACACATTTTTTTTTAGATTAGTATTGTCACCTAGGAGAATTTATTTGTTTAGGTGTGTGTGTGCAGTATGTGGGATGTATGCTGTGTACACACACGTGTGTGCATGGACACCAGGACACGTGGAGGCCAGAGGTCGGTGTCTTCCACACTTTCCACTTGTTTTCTGACTCCAGACGTGAAAATGCCCTCGACTAGTTGTCCCGTCTTCATCTCCCCAGTGCTGCTACGGCAGCTGAGCCTGGTCCTGAGCCTGGTCCTGAGCCTGGTCCTGAGCCTGGTCCTGAGCCTGGTCCTGAGCCTGGTCCTGAGCCTGGTCCTGACACAGCTTGAGTTCCGGAGCCATAACTGTGGCTGACAAGGGAATGAAGGAAGGACAGACACACCTACAGAAAAGCTGAGGTCTGGGCTCTGTGGTGAGGAAGCCTCAGCACCTTAGATGCTCAGTCTGCTGGTTTGAAAGAAAATGGTCCCCAAAGGGCAGGGTACTATGGGGGGGTGTGTGGCCTTGTTGGAGGAAATGTCACTGTTGGGGGTGGCCTTTGAGGTCTCCTTTGCTCAAGCTGTGCTCAGTGGGGCGCATAGTTTACTTCCTGTGGCCTTTGGCTCAAGATGTAGAATTATCAACTCCTCCTCCAGCACCATGTCTGCCTGTACGCCACCATGTCTGCCTGTACGCCACCATGTCTGCCTGCGCGCCACCACGTTGCACCATGATGACCATGGACTAAACCTCTGAAA